CATATAATGAACTGCACTTGTCTTGATTCTTAGCAATTTCGGCTCACTGTTTAGGAAATTTTGGGAAACGATTGGGAAACCTGAGAGTTTTAATAGATAGTTAGGGAACATTTTAGATAAATTAGCATTCAATACTAAATAAAAAAAGTCTAACTAGGGTAAGACAATTAAGCTTCATATCACTCCACAATATTAATTTCTGGCCTTGACTTTGAATTTTTTCAAGCTGCTGCTCCAAATCATGAAATCATGTTTTCAATCATTTCTCGAGTTAATGAGTATTAATATAAAAATTCTCCCTTTAATGGTCCAGTTTATCTTTACTGGGCTGCGTGTCTGAACTCTATTCAACTAGAAAAGAAATGTTTTGGAAAATGCAACCTTTACCTATAAAACATTTGTTATAAATACCATGTTTGGCACATAAAGTCCATAAAAATTCCTCAGTGCGTCAAATGACGCAACGGTGCGGTAATTATTAATTCAAGTAGACAACAGTAATATGCGTTATCTACGATGTGACTTTTACACGGTTATGCCTAAATGTTAGGCATAATACTTCAAGTAACTTTATATCTTATCCGGGTTATCTTTTACATGATCGTATCTGAGCAAGTGTGCAAGCAAGATCATCACCACAGGTGTCCGACAATGCAACAATGAAAAATATCTATTACTGTACGGAGCTTTTCGATGTTATGAGCTTTATGCTGATTGTGCCAATGGGGGAAATCAGTTTGGTTTGAAAATGTTAAATATGGACTTTAATTTAATTACGGTAGTGGGATAATTCTGATGAGTAATTAGAAGGGTTAAAGACGCTAGAATTCTGGTAGGTCTAGAAATGTGGCCAGTACTAGCAATCGACCCAGGAAAACCCCATAAAACTTCAATTAGTTCGGGTTTTTTGATAGCTTTTAACATGCAGAAGGAAACTTCTAATCGGGAAACCGAAAAGCGAAATTTCGCTCTTTACTGTTTGTCACTCGTTCATTAAAATTGCCAACTTTTAAGTGTAAAACTATCTCGATATTAATCTAGCAAAAACGGCTTATATTATTCAAACTATTAGGACGACATTGCTTGCATTGGATTTTTAACTAAAAGATTAAAAAATCGAAGCACTAAAAATATTGAACCAAAGCAAGACCCCCCATTCTCCTCAGTGTCGTTGAGGAGAGTAATCAATCTGAATTTGATTTGAATGTTTTTGTTCCAATTTATTATTTGCTCTGCTATACTGTCCCACGGAAAGATGTTAAAAAAAACAAGTTTTTTCATGTCGGCTACTTCAAAAATTCCTTGGGAATGGAATTTTTGTCAATTTCTACAGTGCTTTTAACTTTTCTTGATTTTGTTTTCTATGCTGTCATTAGTTATTTCGTGCTGTTTATTATGCAATGATTGAAATTAAACCCGCGTTTTCTCTGAAATGATTGATGTAAACCAAATCTGAATAAATACTGATTTGACCAACAATTCTAAACAATTCCATTCATGTTTAACTTTTGTCACACTCTGTGAAAATTAAATGTATTTTTTTATAGTTGTTGCTTGGATTTTTGAAGCACAGAAAAATCCCCGAATTTTAAATATATTTTAATGCAAACAAATAGTGACAAGAGTTTAAGCCTTAATTGTACAACCGGACCTAAGTAAATTTTATTAAAAACGATCTGTTATTGTAGACGAACATGAATGTTTTATGTCAGCTTTGCTCTTAATAGTTGGCAGGTTTTGCAATGTATTCTGCTTTCTGTATTATTGGATCAACTTGATAAAGTTTTTTTCGTATCTCCCATAGTTACGTATTCCATAGAGCGGTAAATTTCCCGACTTCATATGAAATGCGCTATCTAAGCGCCCATATTAACCACTCCCGCATAATTATTTTCAACGGGTATTATTCATGTCTTGCGTTCTGCCCTTGTAATTAGTGCGATATGATTACCGGTTGATTTATTTTTATTTATGTTCATGTTTGATTGTGGATTGAAAAGGTTAATTTCCCAGTTGATATGTTAGCCGGTTAAATCAAATGTAAAGGTCAGCCGCATTTATTTGATCCATCGCAATGAGCAGAGGATTCATGAAATTGATTTAATATTTATTAGCTTATAGGGTTGTTTCAAGGAGCGAGTTTCTTTTAAAAATTGAATATATTTTATATTGGATATACTTTGGATTAGATTAGTAACAAGGCTTGCAAAAAAACGCAATTCCTCGATCTCAAACCCATATTCTCCCCCGTTTAATTACGTTAAAATATGGCCGGAGATCTCTTTATTTTAGTTTCAGGTTGATTACTTTTTAACCTCCCATAGCGAGCCCCGCAAAAATATAGCCTAATTAGCAGGTATGCAACGATGTTGGCCGTCTTGTATCCAGGTGCCAATAGCGGAGCGGACCGGTCGAAATGCTCATATAGATTTACTGGTTTCATTATAAAATTATTCGGGACTAAAAATAACAAAGTTAGATTAAGATCGGTTCAGATATTTTAATTAAAAATGTTTTGCTGCAAAAACTTGTTTATGCCCAGTCTGGGCATTTGTCCCAGGACGGAAGAAAACGGGACACTCTTGGCTAGGATATTTGCTGCTTTGAAACAACCAAAAGAAGACTTAAACATACTCTAAATTACTGGTTCTAGTATAGTCAAATCTTTACCTCTGTTTTGTTTTTGGCTTTGACTTTAGCAAACCTTTGGAGGAAAGCTTGGCAAGATTTTCACTTATAATGAGAATTTATTTTCTGTTGCGCATGAGTTTGCGCATGAGATTTAAAAAAAGTTGAATAACAATAAATTGTTTTTAAACATTTGCAACGCGCATTTCTTTGTTTTTTTTGACGTGAAAAGAACCATAACTTGAATGTTTTCAAATCTAGGCAAACGCGACTAATTAGAAAGGTCAGTTTTATGTAATATTTTTCAAAGAAGAGTTAGGCGTGCATTGCTGATTGGTGACTTTTGGGGCTCGAGTAAACAGTTGGTGCATCGTATGAGTGTTTTATTAGAAATTCTGTGAAGTGCTGAAATAGCTATTATTTGAAAAACCTTAGATTCCTTCCATTTTTGTTTCAATTTCAGTAGTTTCCTCTAACCCTGTATGAAATCACCAGATGTATATGCCCAGATAAACTTAAATGAACATTTTTTACAGGATTAAAAAGTTTAGTACCAATAAGGAATCAGAACTGACACAAATATTCCGGAAGTTGACTTAAAATAAGAAAGTTATTGGCAAGATCCGGAATACGCGGATTCAAGTAAATATGTTAGTTGAAAGGCACATATCGACAGTTTTCACAACCCAGTTTGGTCTAACTCGTTTTTCTAGAAAGAAAAAAATGCTTTGGTTTATTTGGTATTTTGGCTATCGCTATTTATTTACAGCACAATACTTTTCAAAATGTTAAATTAGAATCTTAGTTCAATTCTGTCTGAATCTTTGGTGCTCGTGTAACTCAATTAGCCCTCTGTAGGTACATAAGATCCAAAACTCGCACACGAATGTTTAAATAAAATTAAAGTATTTTTAAAATGGTAAGTTTTTCGGACTCTTACGCTGTCGATGAGAATCTTTTCTTCCCGAAAAAGCCCGAAAAACTCACCAGTGTCCATATCTGAAATCTTTAAATTGCCGCTTTTTTAATAAATTCCCATTTTGCCACAGCAACTTAATAACATAATTGGAAATACTTTCCGGTTTGAAAGTGTTTGAATTGACTGTGTACAGGCAATACCGACACGAATCTAAATTGAAGTTATTGGTTATTACTCATGTGTACATACCTGGTTCAGTCAAAAGCAAACAGCGGCCAGAAAATGTACTCAAGCTGCAGAAATACCGAACCTGTCAAGTACCAGTGACCATTAATTTAAACAGAAAAAAAACCAGAACCAGTTATACAAATCAATCCTAAATCCTTCTTTAAGTCAATATTGACCTATTGTGTTTTTATCTCGTTCAGATGCTTAAAAGTCACATCCACCTAAGCCGTTCCAGCGGGTATGTGATAAAAATCTGACGCATGTTCAGGTTCCCGATATACAGGCCACGAAATTTTGAATGCCAAAGGCAGAAGTCATCAATTAAAATTAATTAATAGATACAGAAATTCAGCAGATAAGCTATCGATATTTTTCGAATGCGGCACTAGGGTTGACAATCTTTTGGGTCTGCGGGTTTTCTCATCAGGTACTATTCGGGTTAGGAGTGGGATCAATTCAAAAAGTACACATTTTGAATAATCATTCTATGGAAGAATGCATTGTTCAGTTAGTGCAGACAAACTTTCATTCCCTAAAACTCCAATTGGATATTGAAAACACTTGCGACAATTCTGTAACTCTTCAACTCCTGAAGCACTGAAGAGATATGTAGCTTTCCGAGACGCTGTAGTTATTAAAAGCTGGCATGTCCAGACTAACATAAATAATGTTGCCAAACTATTTTACGCCAACTTAAGCCTACGCAAAGCAATGAGAAGAATGCCCATTACCAAGTAGATTATTTCAAAGAAACATACGCCTCAAAACGTCTCAGTAGCGTCTGTCCTTGGGTGATAAAAAATCAAATTGTTAATTATGAACTGAGGTTGTGCATTAAACTAGAAACCGTATAATTATATAGGAATTTTACTGGCTCTTGGGTTTAAAAAAATCCGACATTTTCAACTCTTTTTTAACGAGTTCGGCAATTTAAAGCGGCTAGTGAGACAGAACGTCGTTGGTCATAAACGTGGATTTAGGAACTGTTGCTGTAATTGCAAGCTGACAACAGTGGTACCTACTGACGGTCAGCATTCTTAGTTATCTGGGCATCTACACGGTTGTACTTAATTGTGCATGCACTTCCTAGCATCGTTACTTAACTAGGTATAGTATTTTTGACATTAAATCTTCGGTAGCTATCGCACAATCAACGATTTGAACAACCGATCTTGACCACAATGTGTCATACACCTAATTACCACTAAGCAGCATTATATCTTACCTTTGTGATCGGTACTATCGATCGGTAATCTTGACTACTACTTGAGAGTTAGCATTCCAGGTGTAGATGAAGATACAGTTATTGATTCCAATCGTAATATCCACTGTGTTGGGGAACTGATTTACATACCCATTTTTTTTATTTGAACAGTACTGACTTAAAAACATCGTGTATTTTTAGTCTTTATTTTATGTTTGTGTGAAGGAAATTGCCCGAGAGTCTGGCCACTTTCTTACTGGCGTTAGCGACAGAATTGACTACCAATTTCCGAATAAATAAGAAGCGGATAATGAAAATACGTCCATTAACGTTTGCTCATCTTCAACAAAATATTTGTTGTGAGGTTGTTTCGACGTTTTTCAAAACTTTTGTTTTCTGTCAAAATTTCTGTCTGTTAAAAAGGCAGAATTTTCTATTAGATATTGACAAATAGTAAATCATGATCAAAAGCTAGAAAGTATTCTGCAACTCAGTTAGGCACAGAAGAGGAAAATTCGAATTAGTAGAGGAGTAATTAATTTAGAAAATTATCTTCTATCAGACGTGTCTATCAGACGCAACTCTCCTATAGTTTTCAAAATATACAAAAAAAAAGATCATTATCACCGCCCTTATCGCCTTTTTTTCAGTAATATATTTAGGGAGAATTTGAAATTAAATTTTACAAACAATTAAAAATTTCAACCAATAATCTTAAGTCGTGGGGATTTTTATCATTTCTGAAAATAAAGAACCAACAATTAAATTCACTAATGAAAAAGAACAAAAAAGCCCAATTTTCTCCATATACTAAATTGATAAAAATTTATAAAATTTTGAAACTTGCGTATGGAAAACCTACGCATGGAAGTAAATATTTGGCTTATACAAAGTATTGTAAAACGCTTAAATTATGGATGAAAAATAATTTATAATCGATGAAATTTTTCAAAACGAAAGCAATTCATAAAAGAAGTTTTAGATTTCAACAATTACAACCCAGATTTCGTTATTGACGAATGTTTTAATTGTTTTAATGAAATTAGAATTCCAAAATTACAAGGAAATCAAAATAAACCCATTACAAATATTTAAATTCCATTTATTCCGGGAATTTCAGAGAAAATTAAACGAGCAGGTTGCAAATTTAATACTAGAACTGTCTTCAAACTGAAAATACAATTAGTAGCAAAATTCCGAAAACAAAACCTTATGACAAAATTGAAAATACAAAAAAACGTTACTTCCAAATTCCTTGCTAATGTGATAGATACATTTTATACAGTCATAATGCATTTGATAATTRCCACCAAAAACCATTGATTCAATAATTTTAGTAAAAGAACCAGCAGCAAAAAAACGTTAAATTATCACTAAGTCAATATTAAAGTTGCCTCATGTTCATTTAATTTAAGCCATGCCATGGTTACTTACTTATACTAAAATCTGAAGTAGACTAAAGAAACGCAAGTGTACCTAAATTAAATTTCATTAGAGTTCTTAATTAATTTTAGTTCCTTTTTTTTTAATCATGAGATTTCAGTCAAAGTAAAAAAATAGAAAATTTGTAAAAAAAATTAAACTAGCAATTTTTTTCAGATTAATTTTTTTAGCCTTGTTAAATATTTATTAAAATTTTCTTTGCTTTAAGATCGATGGCAGATTTGCTAACGAAACCTCAAAGCAACTATCCTACATTTCTTTAGTAATAGGAATTTTCAAAAAACAAAAATGTTGATGCGAAATGCCAAAAAAAAGGTTTGCAACATTGAATCAGCCTCAAACTTTTTATTTTGCTTGTTCTTGTGTCTCCGCTTTCTTTATTCGAGAGATGTGAATTTCACTGCCTAATTACCGCTTAAGTACTTTTCAACCTGCTAATTTCTTATTAATGGTTCCAAATTGCAAAACAGCTTAGACGACTAGATTATTTAAGCATCTTGCGAAAATTTGCCACAATTATCAAAACAGAACAGACACATTCAAACTAACAACTGACTCCATAAAAATACTTATTGAATATTTGAATCTGCTTCAGAAGACAATTAGTCTATCATTAGAACACCCACGATTCTCGGTTTAATGGTATGTATACTACATAAAGCCATGATACTTTCCAAATTAATCAATAAGCGGACGAAGAAAACGATTTTTTGAACCTCGTTCGATATTTTGCATGAAGAGATCGTAAAACACTTAGGTCAAAGGTACAGTTAGTTGGATGAGCCACTTTACTCCCAACGAGGAACCAAAGATGATACCTTCTATACTCTATTATATGCATTGACGTGGTATATGCGACTTTTAACAACGACGAACATTTGTTTTCATGGTGAATTTCTACTTAATGTACCATAAAGTCATGGTTTATAGGTTGAGTCGGATTTGCAAGCCATGTTCCTTGTAAAGGTCCAATAACTCACCGTTTCAGTTTACTTGCCAGTGATGTAGTTGGAAAAATTTACTATTTTTCGTTATGAAAAATCCACCAAATGCTTGAACAGAATTTACTTTTAGCAGAACATAAAACTTACTACTCTTCGATGGATTTTCTGCCTTTTTTCTTTTTGAGTGTCATTGTGTTGCTTCCTCAATAGGTCGTGAGCATCCCAGCAAAACCAGGGCAAATTTCTCCAAACAATTTTTCGACGGAGAATTCCGCTTCATTATAGCAGTGCCTTTCGAGCGATTTTGCTGAATTTCCATACCAAATTTGCGCAATGAACGTTGAATAGCCTAGTCAATAATTGACCGCCAGTCGGTACTCTCAGATCTATTGGACATTAGATCTAATTAAGAGTGGCGTGCACTTCCTTCTTCGCATTGTTTCAATGCAACAGAGAGGCATGAATTGCATCAACACGCATATTTATCTTGGACGAATCAAGCTACCTGAAGTTAGCAGCTTTTCTCTTATTAATTAGAAACGAAAATGTCCATCTATGGCATTACGAAATTGCCATGTCGCCTTTGGGTCACGCAATGTTTATTTGCCTTCCTCGAAGGTGCCCAGGGTCATTATCCAGGGTTACATGGAATAGCATTCAGTCTTGATTGTGCCTTTAAACTGTCCTCTTTTTCTTGTTTTTGTCACCGCTCCGAAATATGTCTTCTTTCCTTCCTTATTCAATTGAGCAGTGACTTTAGTCCAGTACATTTACTGCAAATGTTTAGTTGCAATTTTAATATGTATTTAAGTCCTGAGTTATTGAAATCTCATAGTAACAGCCACCTTCCCCCGATGTAATGTTACTATGCATGTTTGTCCTGTTTCACGTGCTCCTTTTGTGTTTTTTATCTATATTTATCTGTAAGATTTAGCTGTTTTGCCTTCAGTTCTGTTTCGTTTATTTTCACATAATTGGTTTGTAGATTCTGCTGTTAAATATTCCTACTCTCCAATTACTAATAGTTAACGAACTAAACCAAATACCACCTTTCCAAACTAGTTAACTTTAATTAAAAATTGTAACGCTTCACGCGGACTATTTATGTCAGAAATGCTTGAAAAAATTACTATTAACGACTACTAAATAGTTCGAAACTACCCGATCTAGATCACGAACATACTTTTCCTTAGTTCGAATTTGTTCATTTCTATTAGCTTATGTGCAAATTGATGGGCAATTAGTAGGTGTTAGCATATTTACAGTGCGCAACAGCCACGATCGAAACCACCAATTTTGTGATAAAGAATTATGGTTTTTTTGCAATCACATAAACCATTTTGCGATATTGGAAATGAAAGTAAATATCGGGGTTTTATGAGGAAATAGATGGAAACAGAAATGTACACATTTATTCGGTTAAAACATTTAATTGGTTTGAGTAGCTAATAACGGTTTTTGGTGGAAGGATTAAGTGCCACCAAAAGAAGCAAAAAACACGGAATAGGTAAAGGAAAATTGTATTTCTAATAATTATTATGTGAGTTTCGTTGAAAATGAGGAAAATGCCAAAGTGAACTTTTGGTTGACGAAAGGAGAATACTGCAAAATCGCCTTTTGAATAATTTTTTCAATTACATGAATGTATCAAAGAAAGTTTTGTATCTTATCGCCCAAAACGAGCTAAAACAAATGCTTTTTCCTGACTAAATTAGGTGTTTGTGTTTCTGTTTTTCATGCACATGGATGGTAAAAGTACACGATTTGAGTGTCAGTATCAAGTAGAAAACAGTTGGAAGTCATCGAATACAATTCACTTAGATAGCCATATCTACTAAAAGGTACTAATTAGATAGATTCCAAATATGGACTCTTGACAGAAGGTGAAATTCGTGCCAATCAAACCTTTTAAGCGTTCTTTGACCTTCTAGTTCGTTTTTGTTCATGTGGTTTACCCTAATATTTCTTAGTTCCACTTAATTGTTAATTAAACGCGCGAGACTCTTCTTCGATGTGGCCGCTTTCTCCAATATAAATTATCTTTGCAATATTAGAAACACCCATCGATTTTGCAACGATTTATAAGATTGCAAAATATCTTCCACTGTATTGAAGCCTCGTTTTTTTGGTGGTTGGCAAGAAATTGAAAAAATTGTCGAAAAGTCAGTGATTTGGTTTCTGTTTGAAGGGGTGTCGAAATCTATTTCTTTTTTGTTGTGTTAAACGTTAATGTTTTGGTAAAAATTAAGCTACTTAGATAAATTTTCTACAGTGCGGCAAATAAAAAAATGTAAAATTTTTCAAAATTTGGTTCCTAGTTGGGCAAAAATTTAAAAAAATGTTTTTTTGATCTCAACACCAAAAGGTTAAAAATAAACCAAATAGCTAGAAACGTTTTGAATTTTTTGTCCATCTCCTTTTTGTACAGGGTGGTCTCAAAAAATCCATCTTTTTCTTGACTTTTATGATATTTACCTCATGTTGAACTTCAGAGACAGAGAGACATTTTAAGACAAAAATTCGACATAGAGGGTTAGATGAAAAATGTCCCAAATCAGAATTGCCCCGAAATCTGGGATTCTGAGAGATTTTCAACTAAGTGAAGTACTTATACTTTCAATGTTTCGTGTGATCATGCAACCCGGTATTTAAATTATTGTTTTCGCAAGTCCATTGTGAAGTTTTACCTTCAACATAACTCATATATTTTGAACATGAGCTTAAGAAAAAAAATATCATTGCAAGACAAAAAAGTTGATTTTTTACGACCACTCCGTAAATAAACAAGATGAACGAAAAATTTAAAAACATTTTTGGAGAGGTGTGAGGTCTATCTTAATGCTGTGGTGTTCAAATACAAAGAAACAACGTTTTTTTGCCGAACTGGGAGCATGTGAAACTTTCATCAATTTTAAATTGTTTTAATTGCCAGCCTGTAGAAAATTTATCTGAAGCACCATTTTGTTGCAAAACGACGCATTAACCGAAAAAGAATTGCACTGA